CTATCTATCTATCTATCTATCTATCTATCTATCTATCTATCTATCTATCTATCTATCTATCTATCTATCTATCTACGTTCACCCACTCATCCATTCATCTATTGTCTGTCCGTCCATCCATCTCCATCCACCCATCCGTCCATTCATCTATTGTCTGTCCATCCATCTATCTATCTCCATCCACCCATCCGTCCATCTATTGTCTGTTCATCCATCTATCTCCGTCCACCCATCCGTCCATTTATCTATTGTCTGTCCGCCCATCCATCTATCTTATCTATCTCTGTCCACCCATCCATCCATTCATCTATTGTCTGTCCGCCCATCCATCTATCTATCTCCCTCTACCCATCCATCCATATATTGTCTGTCTTTCCATCCATCTATTTATCTCCATCCATCCTTCCATCCATTCATCTATTGTCTGTCCATCCACCCACCCACCTACCTACCTCCCAAATGTATTGGCCATTAAAAAAAAACATTTTAAAACATTTTTACCTGTACGGTAAAACAGTACAGGCAGTCCTCGACTTAACAACAGTTTGTTTAGTGACCATTCTACATGCCTTTGGACGTCCCAAGACGCCTTATTGGTGAGCGTGGCGACATATAAATTTCATGATACATAAATTAAGAAAGAAAAAGGGATGGGGAAACGTGTCAACGTATCAAAAGCGATAAATCTGTCTCCTAGTTGGAATTCCACCTCATCATCCTTTCTCATTTGGATTTCAGCTGTGGGCCTGGGATCCTGGTGCTTCCACATGACTCTGAAGTATGAAATGCAGGTTAGTAGCCCTTGGAAAAAGTGTGCACATTTTGTGTCCATGGCCAAGTGACATTCCTGGATCTGTTTTGCTTTCTTGGTTGATTGGTAGGGGTGCATTCATAGTGTGTTTTGCTGGGAATTATGTGCTCTCGTTTTCAACTCCTAGCGACCAAAAACGCCAGTAACAACCGTGCTATGGATAGTTAAAATACTTTATCCAAGAGTCCAGAAAACGATACAGAAGGATTGACTAATCTAGAATAAAATACATGTTTGGAGTCTAGTGGACACTCACTTAAATAGGAGCCAGCCGTGTGTTGCAGCCGTCAAAAAATGCCAACACAGTTCTAGGCTACATTAACAGAGGGACAGACTCAAGATCATGCGAAGTGTTAATACCACTTTACAATGCCTTGGTAAGATCACATCTGGAGTACTGCATCCAGTTTTGGTCGCCACGATGTAAAAAAAGATGTTGAGACCCTGGAAACCGTGCAGAGAAGAGCAACAAAGATGAATAGGGGAGTGGAGGTTAAAACATGAAGAACGGTTGCTGGAACTGGGTATGTCTTTTAGTGAAAAGAAGGACTAGGGGAGACATGATGGGAACCTTCCAATATCTCAGGGGATGCCACAAAGAAGAGGGGGTCAAGCTATTCTCCAAAGCACTGAAATGCAGGACAAGAAGCAATGGATGGAAACTAATCAAGGAGAGAAGCAACCTGGAATTAAGGAGAGATTTCCTGATATTTAGAACAATTAACCAGTGGCACAGCTTGCCTCCAGAAGTTGTAGGTGCTTCATCACTGGAGGTTTTCAAGAAGAGATTGGACAGTCACCTGGCTGAAATGGGATAGGGTGTCCTGTTTGAGCAGGGGGTTGGACTAGAAGACCTCCAAGGTCCCTTCCAACTCTGCTATTGTATTTTTTTTTTAAAAAAATATATACAGTATATCACAGACGTGAGTATACCCTTCTCACATTTTGTAAATATTTAAGTATATCTTTTCACGTGACAACCCTGAAGAAATGACACTTGGCTTAAATGTAAAGTAGTGAGTAGCAATAGCAATAGCAGTTAGACTTATATACCGCTTCATAGGGCTTTCAGCCCTCTCTA